TTTAATGCGTAATAACACGCGTTATTCGATTTAATGTACATAACCATATTTATGCTAATTTAATTTTTTGTTTTTTTAAATTTCTTATTGAAAAAAAAAACTTTTTTTCATAAGCAAGAGACTTCTAGTAAGCAACTTCCGTTTTATGGAAATCTGTCGTTTTTAAAATAAGTCATCAAGCAAGCTACATAAAAAATAATTAAATAATTGATCATTAGATGAATGTATCAGTGAACGCATGTGAAAATGAAATATTATAGTTACGAACCACACGATAAGAACAAGAAACCGAGTTTGTGCAGACGGCAGCGATCGTAGCAAAGTGGGTAAAATACTGGACGAATATGTGGAAGGTCGAGCGCTCAAATCTCTTAGCTATAGAGAGTATTCTTTTTTTTTTTTTTTTTTTAAATTATAAAAGAAAAAAATTCAAAGTCAAATAAAAGTTATTGGTGGGGGAAAACAAAATTAAAAATTAATTGCTTGGGAGTGTGAAGGCGAATGGTGGGCAAAGGTGTGCAAGAGAGTAGCGTGGCACGGTTGGCAGATATATGGTTGGGTGAGGGGAAGTGTGTAAGGAACTGATGGTAAGTGGGATGGGGTAAGGGGGAAACTTAGGAGGAAGTGACTTTCGGTAAGCCACTTCCGTTTCATCAAATCTGTCGGTTTTAAAATTCCAGTCCTCCAAGTACGCGACATAAAGAACTTTGTTCTAAAAATTGGGTTAAAATCAAACGGTACAAAGTAAATATTGCTCAATAGTGATATACGTAACAATCACACAGTGTGATAACATGGCAGTAGCTCCTGGCATGGATAATAAGCATAATGTTGTAACGATACTGTTGGAGTTAACTTGTATACGAGTTGGGTATACAATGTTTTATACTGTTTTTTGTGCAAAAAGTGTGTATTTTTTACATGACATAACGAAAAGCTCATTTCGAACCTGCAAGTACTCCGTATCATGTAGTTTTAGTTGAATACTACAATGCTAGAGAAAAAAGTTATCCAACCCTAAATAATTTACGAAGTCAGCTAACATTTCCAAATCACAAATAACCATCTATTACATAACAATCAATGCTCTGCTCGATTTTTAATCAACTATACTTTATAGAAATGCTAATCATACCCGTGGGCTTTTGGATATAGCAACAGCAGCAGCAGCAGCACTGGCAGCGATTACGCCTACGCAAAAAAGGCACAAGTCAAACGAGAGAGGGACAGGGGGGGGGGATGAAGAGCTAAAGAAAGCGAGCAAAACGGATGGTTTCGCTCTTTTTTTTCTGTCCGAGAATCGAGCACGTAACGAGCAAGGTAGAGCCGATGAAGCCCGCTAACTCGCTCGCTCTCCCAGAGATGGTTAATGAGGCCGCAAGACGCGAATTTATGGCGCCTCCCGCGCGCACGTGCACCGTACGTTAGACGGCCGCGCCTCTTTTTGCGCTAAGACTCGCATCATTTAGGCTCGACTCTGGACCTGCCCCCCCCCCCCTTTTTCTCCCTGTCTCATTTCAAGTCGGCTTTTAATTAAGTTTTTCAGTGGATATGGCTTCATTGGAGACGGACCTTTTTAAAGGTAACTGTGCACGTGCTCGCACAGTAGATACGGCCGGCTTAGTTTGTGTAATTAAATGAATTCGTACCGCAAAACTTGTGAAAGGAAAGAAAAAATAGTAATATGATTAGAAAAAATGTTTTACAATTGCTGGAGATAGAGTAATGGAAGTACTTCATTTTTAATAACACAAAACTATCATTGAGGTAGGCTGTTATCCGTAACAAGATTACCCAGCACATACCATCAATAAAAATATTGAAGTAGCTGTAAACAAGTATCAGTCAAAGTAGAGTAGTTACCATGCCCATCCTTCATCAAATAATGGCCCTAGTCAATCTTTTGGCGAAGTTACTCGTTTGGTTTGGTAATTTCGATGTATCACAATACTGTACATACAAAATCAAGAAAATGACTGGCTTGCTCGGGCTTGATTGCACTTTTGATAACAGCAAAAGTTTCATCGTTTTCTAAGAAAAAGGTCTAACATTTTATTCATAGAAATAATATGACGATAAAATTCAAAAACTTTATTTAATGTAGGATAGTTTTTATCTTTCATTATAATAATCATTGGAATCAATTCTCAACATGTTTGAGAAGGCATCGAACTTCAACAAAAAAGAAAAATTAAAGTTTTTTGAGCTAAATATTTGTAATTAGAGTAAATTAAAGGCCTAGCAACTCTTACAAAATTATGTAATGTTCTATGCTTAATGTTTTACAGTATGTCCTGTTTTTATCTCTTCTATTCCCAACTGTTGCGACAATCTGACCTAGTAGTACAGTTTTTGTGATGTATAGGGTAGGAACAACGCAATTTTATCAAATCATGAGGATGTTAGGTATGCAATAACATCAGTGAACATATTTTTTTACCCTTTCATGCAAAAAGACGTCGCGTCAACGAGGGAAACAGTAAACCTGATCTATCGCACCAGCACAACATTCAGCCTCAGCAGTCATAGTACCAACTTTTATCTTCATGTTTCTTTTCGTTAATTCTTTTGTATTTTTCTCCTTAACTTTACATTTCTTTTCTTAAGATTCAGCCTTATATTTTTTGGCTATGGACATGAAACTTCACAGTTCATAAGACTGTGTCTGTTATTTACAACCCCCTTCCGCAACCCTTAACAAGTTTTGTTAATTTGGCTTTTATTTGTAGCCATGACTGTTATACTGAAATACCTTATATGCTTACTAGAGCAATAAGTGTCAACACTTTCTTCTGAACTCCATTCTGAATACAAGGAAATCGATTGTATTAAGAACTTTATATCTAGTTGAGCTCGAATTTGGATTGTAGCTCTATTTTTATACCACAACTTGACAGTTTTCAATCCAGAATATTTAATGGAAGGAAAAATTTTTAACAGCTTCAAAATTGTGTTACTCTGAAAAATGAATATATTAAGTTTTTTAAAATTAAAATGTAAAATCTCAACCTGAAAAAATCAGTTTTATTTTAATAACTTATTTCCAACAGATTTATGGCATGTGGTCAAGGAAAGTTTGTAGATCTTATTGTTCCACGTTTTTATAGTACACATCTATACATCAAATGTTATTATTATAGTCTAAATAACGATACTTAACAAAAAAAGCTAAGAACTGAAGAAAAACTGCCAAATTATAACAATGTCAAAAATTCATACGAATAGGGATATATCTTAGGTTTTGGTTAAAAATCTAAAAGTCGTACGATGAGATGGAAGAATCTAATTTTTAACACAAACTAAGCTGTTTGTATCAAATGAAAGATTAATAATAAAGACTTTTTAGTTTAATAAGTTTTTCTGTATAGTAAAGTTTAAAAGTGAAAAACCAAAGAATTTGTTTTGTAGCATATAACTTTTCTGTATGAAACATGTTTGGACTAAATGTTCAATACAAAGATTTAAATTATTGTGAATTTCACTTTTTTGTGATTGCCATTCTGTCTTTAGTATTATCCCAAGATATTAAGTAATAAAAACTGCTTTCAAATGTCCAAAAAATCGAAACAATAGCATTACCTACTTGTCTTTATACTTTATAACAATAATAAATCTAATAAACAAAACCAAAGAAGCTTGTTAATAGTACTCATACAATTACTTAAGGAGTTGCTATGAGTATTTAAGTAAAACATAGAAAAAAATATTTGTTATCCAAGACTTTTCTCGCCACGCATAATTTAAATATCTTATTTTTTAGTCACCTCTGTCATGTGCATATTAATAACTCATTCAAATGATTATCGTTAGCTTATTAGTCAACATAGGTTCTATTCTAATCTCAAGTGCAAAGCTTATGCCTTAAAGAGTAAAAAAATTAAGTTTCTGTTAGTAATAAACATCAGCTAATTTAGCAAAAATAGTATTGAGGGCCGATTTTCCTCTTTATATATCCTTGTTTTGTATATCCTGTATATGTGCAGATTTTCTTACCAAAGCTGCGTCACAGCAAGTTATTCGGCATGTGATATGTATAATATGTACAAATAGGTATACTTAGCACATGACGGATTCCTACCAACCGACTGATAAATGCACCAGCCACTAACAAAATACTGAAGTATTGTTGAAACTTTTGGTGGTAATCTGTTAGTTGGAAATAACTAAATTATTTCCTCTGACTAAATAAAAAACATACGATTAATAAATCGTGAATCGTGCCAATAAAACATAATATTGTTAAATTGCGGTAGCTGGTGTTGATCATAATATCGTCTTTAATATTTTTAACACCAGAGGACGTAAAACATGGAAAATCTCATCTACAAACTGTCATTCATAGCGTGTTTGTTTCATAAAAGTCAATAGTCTGCTACAAGATGTCAAGCAGTAACGTAATGCAAAACACGCCTTTACTGTTAGGTTTTTATTCTCTGCTCCGTTCATCATTGTTTTAAACCAACTGGACTCGAGCTCAGTTTTTGAGCAGTGCCCTTGGATGGGGAACGTCAGAAGATCTAGGCCTCGCATGATATCAGTATATCTATATATCCGATTACAGACAAATTGGCCTGGCGTATAGATGTACTTACTGATATGCTAAGCAACTATTACGTTCACAAATTCCTTGTTGACGTCATTGTTATTTCTACGTCACTTGACACTTTTTGAGCGCTATTAACATCTCGACCGAAAACCAGGTCCGTGGTCGAGTTGGTTAAAGTTTGTTTTGAACATTTCGACAGCGGATGACTGGAGGAGGCGTGGGTTCGATTCTCGTGATGGAGTGCATCGGAAGGACGACGGTTTTTTCGGTGTTTCAGCTCGGCTAGAATATAAAACGCGCCTCCAACGGGGGTGGTGGGTAAAGAAATAAGTTTGTGTACTAACTCTTAGTCAGTAAGTACGTGGAATAACTTAAAAAAAATTAACAGCGAACTCAACGGTAAACAATGATAAGTAGTAGTACATTGAGGGTCAGTAGGAGATTCAGCTATATGATAGGATAGGGAAAATGAGCCGGGTGTCGCCTAGGGTGTATTAAAGGACAAAGATAGTTCTTTTAGGGACTTGGTGATGATTACTATAGGGATATAGGCCAGTTAAAAGCCTGGCTCAAGTACGAGTTCTACACCAAAATGTTATTATTATTTTTTTTCTTTTTTTCTTTTATTTTACTTTACGCTTATCAACTAGTTTATATAATTATTATTGAATATTTCTATGCTCTATGACTAAAATAAGATTTGCGGACACTATGTTATACTTACAATGCTGATGGTCTGAAAGGCAAAAATAGAGTATAAAATTTGTAGATTACCAGAAGAACAATTTCTTTATTTTGTACATTTATATTTCTAAAACCTGCTCTAAACACTTAAAATTAAACAAAATCTTTTTTTTTTTAATTAGGTTTATTGATATAACTCGTTTTCCAGATCATTAAATGGTCGAGGAACCTTTGTAGATGCCCTAAACTTTTAAAATACCTTTTTACAATTAGAATCTAATTATTATTGTATATTTAACGATACTTAACAAAAATATATAAAAACTAATAAAAAAGTCCTTACATTGATGTACACTAGCCACTAACTATATAACAACACAGTTTTTTGTAATTTATTAACTGAGGATTAAAGCTTGATTTTCTCTAAGAAGATTCAAAACTTAAATTTTGTCTAGAATATTTTCGCAAATGCATGCAAAATAATTGAGTACTAACATTTGATTGTTTTGTATTGTACAAAAATTTGGTGTACGGCAAGAGTTTTTTCCGATCCTCCATAAACGATATGTCAGTTCTATAGGCTTGCAAATTTGGAATCAGTCTTTCAAATATGAAAACTAAGAGTCCGTTATACTAATAAATATCACGTTATTTTGCGAAGTGTTGGAGTAGTTACTCGGAACAGATGATAAGTTACAATTAAACTATTACTTGTATAATAGAAGCACAGTAAATGTACTTACGAATAGTACGACATTATAAATGTGGAGGACGTATTTGAGAAAGTTGACGGAGCAACAGCCGTCGTCGCGTGTGCGTATGCGAGTATTAGTTCCAGGCAGCCTCTCCGCGCCCTTGGCCATCTTGTCCAGTTGGGACAACTGCTGCTGATGCTGATGGTGGTAATCTTGCCCGTCGTGGATTGACGAAGACTTTCGCTTGTTGCCGTACCACGCTGTCGTCACCTTGTCATTTTCCTGTAATCAGAGGGGGCCTTTTTTATTCGCAGGGATCTAGATAAGTAGTAAATACCATTACTTCGTGGTGAGGGAAGAGCGTTGTATTATTTATTAGCGGAAAATTGGATTCCTTAAGTTTTTTTAAATAGGCAAGGTTGCAAATGTCTTGCAGTAAGCTATTTCCACAGCTTTGGAGAAATTATTGATGTAATTGTTGAAGGGCAGTTTGTAATTTTTAACATAAAACAACGAAGTGAAGAAAAGTAGATTTGTGCATATATCTTATGAATAGTGACTGTTAAGGTGAAGATAATAACTCTCCTTTAATTTAAAAAGATTTTTTGACGTCCAATCTTTTACGATCAAATTCTCTATCCTTTCTATCCTGCTATTATAATTCTAAAGATGCACAGTACTAACAGAACATCTGTTGTATTTATGTCAACAAATCTCAATATCACAGTTTACCATGATAATATTCTCATCATAATTTTACTTCTTACTTACGATAAATCAAACATTACTTTTTACATTTGAATCAGTGACTGCTTATTAATTTACTACCTAAAATAAATTATTGGTAATGGCTAACTTTGGAAAACTTTGGATAGTTTTGTACTTGCAACCAATAGTTTAAATTGCAAATTTTTTTTCCTGAACAATCATTAACTCATAACTCAACTACTATAATATTAAATAACATATTTTAACAACATCAGATTTACAGAACTAGATTACTCGAAGAATTTTGTTAATCTCATTTTTCTTAATTTAAGAGACCAATTTTACTTTCAAACCATAGAAGAACTGATTTATTTTATCATGTGTATTATCGACAAAATCATATACACCTTAAGTCACATCTTAAAACTCAAACTACTTCTAACTCCAACTTTAACAGCAAAATTTCTCAGATGCAAACAAAAAAATACATGGGTATACTCCTAACCTAGACAGCGCAGCCTTTCTTCCCTTTTTCCTCCAAATCAAATATGTACACTTATATAATATATAGTCACTAGAGAGGTGATCTAGTTTGAGAATTTCTTAATTTCCTTATTTTGCACTTCAAGTGTGCCCAGCAATAAACTCGTAGAGAATATAGATTGACAGCACACATATACACATGTATGCACACAAATGGGCACTACCTCTGGAGTCTCCTAAAGTTCTACACACCTTTAGTCCAACGTTAATTTATCAACGTTACCTTACTCTGGCACTAGGCCAAGGACTATCTTTATCTTGGCGCTGAGCGGATACGGGATTCGTTTTGGGAAAAGCGATTTTTGCTAAACGATAAGTTGTTGAACGTTCGATCTTCCACGTCCTTGTCTACTAATTCCTTTTATTAAAAGTTGATATTTATTCATCGTGAAAAAGGTCTCGGGAGAATGAAGTAGAAAAGAGAGAAAAAATAAGATAGTCCTGCAGATTGATTGAATTTGAGAAGAATTACTACGTAAAGTAGATAACGTAGCTAACAATTGGTGAGGGTTCATTGTCAATAATTTTTTACGTACTTTATACTAAGATTAAAATTATGATTGGTTTTTATACCAATATTTTAGACATTAATTTTTAGTGAAATCGGTGAAAAGAAATATGATTCAATGTCTCTACCATTTTAGGACAATCAGCCATTTTTTGTACAAAAACTCTTTTTCCTTAAAAAGAAGTAGAGCGACTTCGACGTGTAGATGTATATCTTCCTACCTTGGACTTGTTCTTACTGAAATTTCATGCTTATTTATCTTAGAAGATCTAAGGCTGCAACTCATCTCTTACTTGAAATAATAGATAATAAAAAGATTGTCTACCGAGTCCTACACAGAATGCTGAAGTAATTACGAAATTACCGATTTACTGGGAGCTCACGAGAAAAAGATAGAGAGAAGGAGATGGAAATGGTTCGTTTTTTTATGTTCCCTGACCGTAAATTACGAAGGTGGGTCGCATATATCAACATTCATACGAAACTGATGGTATATTCCAGGTATACGTACATATAAAGAAACAACGCAGGACGTGTGAGTTCCGTGGTAGTACATAATTTGGCTTAACTTCAGAGCTCCAGTGAAATAATTACGATATGTGGGATACTTATTCAAGGGCTATGATTACTTTACGAATTCTTTTGTCAGACTACGGCTTTCTTGCAACTGGATTATTGGCATGTTTAACATAAGTTGAAGAAAAATTGTGTCATCATTTAAATAAGTATTAAAGTTAGTGAATAGTAAAAAAAATACAATCTAATACGTTGAGTAAATACTGACTTGCTAGTCGCTTAAAATAAATGATTTTTCGGTATTAGCAAATTGATAACATTCTCGTTTAGTTAATATTAATCTACAAAATTTTTACTGTACTTAAGTATCCAGCTTAGGTTACATTGGTAGAATCTAAAATATTTAAATCTTTTTAATGAATTGTTTGGACTTTGACGATCTTATAGGGTGATATTTCAATTTTATTGTAAGTACAATGAATTCACTATTTTAGCTCCTCACATACTTTTATCAAAAAAAAGAAATTTCTTATTTCTATTGAACTTTGTTTACAGCGATTCTTGAACTCGTGTTCACAAATCCACCTCAAAAATAGAAATATAGAAGACAAATAGAAATAAAGCAAATACAAATCGTCCATAAACTTAATTCACCAACTATCAGAAGAATATCCAATGAGCATGGTATCGTTGACGTAAGAACCTGTATTCAGAATTTTGATTTTCTGTTTCTCATGATTTTGCAGAGTTTTCGACACGAGGGTTGAAAAAATGTGTACCTACTCGAGGGTCTTTCAGTCAAACTATGACTGGACTTGTTTGTAATGAATCCTTCTCAAATAAACCGGTCTAAGGTATTTTTAACTTACATCTTGCTTTTCTTTGCATAATAGGTCAGACACAATCGAAGTACACAATTGTGTTCATCACGAGGGGCTGCGCACTCTGAAGTCTTTTGAAGACTCCCGAGATCTTTGAAAGACTTAGAATGACTTATGAAGTCTTTTTTAATGGCTTGAATTTTTTTTTGATGACTTGAAGCTATACGCACTCTTTAAGTCCCGGTAAAAAGTCTGAAGTCTTTTAAAGACTTCTGAAATCTTTGAAATATTTAGAATGACTTATGAAGTTTTTTTTAAAGACTTCAAGAGTGCGCAGCCCCTCGGTTCATCATTAGATGCAAGATGAAACAAAAACCTAGTGATGAATATTTGAACCCTCTAATTAACATATATATTGAAACAAAGTACAATGAACCAATTGATTGTCGAGTGATAACAAAAGCGAAAAACTTGATTGTTTTTCAAATATAAAGTGACTGTAGATTTAAAATAATAATAAGGAAATGAAATCCACGCCCTTCTCGACAACTGTAGCCGTAGAACCCTGGAGCCAAGGAGAAACGATGAGGCAGAATAACACGGAAGGAGGAAAAGTTCGGCCTAAGGAGGGGGTCAGAGGTGGTAAGAAACATAAAAGTCATAACCAGGGCCCATGCCGAAGGAGCTCCATGTACGAAGAGAAAGGCGTGGGAGAGAAAAGATGAAGATGAGAAAAAAGACGAAGGAAAGGAGAGGAAAGACAGCGATACCTTGATATACCAGAAGGGTGTGACCCGAACGTGGGCGAGGCAGCACTCTCTGCGTGAGCTTCGTATAACACACCGTACAGTTTGTTCTCTCTGTCTCTGTCCCTTTCAAGCATGCACGTGTTCACAAATAGAGAGGAAAGAATACTCAAATCACACATAGGTGCTTGCGCCGTTAATAACGTGGAGGATATGAAAACAAGCAACAGGAACGAGGTGGAGGGAGTAGGTGGTCGCGTGGCACGTTTTATTTTCCTTGCATGGGAACGTGGGGAACAGATATATAATTTTCTCGGCGTTGTCTTCGTGCAAAAGTGATGGGGCATGCACGCTGGTCTCTACACCCCACTTCCTCCGTCCCGTGGATAATGTGTTGGCTTGCTTTCTTGCTCGCTCGTGGTGTATTCATCTACATATGCATATGCATATTATATGCGCGATCGTCACGCAGAGGTGCGATTCATCGGGGTCTTTGGTGAGCGCGGGCTGTACAGAAAGATGCGCTGACTTGCTGGTTTCTCGCAGCGGATGTCCGTAGGTGTGAGCAAAACGATGTATGCATGACGCTTTACTTTTTTTCCAAATTCTTTTTGGAGCTACGATATCGCATGCATAATGCATTCATGATTTATGACAATGATCGCAAGCCTGTACATGGGCGTGCGAGGAGTGCGGGGAGAGGTACAGGCATTGTGTTGCCAGAAAACTAAGGAGAGGAGGATGGTTTGTTTGATTTGGTAAGCTTCAGATCAAGGATTATGGGCATCAGTTTACAAGGTCTAAAGGTCTGTAGGCATCAAAGCTCGGTATCCAAAGATGTAATTCCAAAAGATAATAGAGTATGGTCTAAATATAAGATAAGAACATTAGCATTAATTTCAATCCAACATTTATGCCCATAATTATTACAGCCCACTAAAGTAATGTCTGTGCATGTTTTTCAATGATACGATAAAAATTAGATTGGTGTTCCATCATCAAATACTAGAGTTTTAAGTATTGTTACGATCTATTACTACTACCTTTACTTTATGTGATACTATTATTTACAACGAAATTATACTACAACTATTTGGTTAAGCTTTAGTAAAAAGTTGACTTACGTGAAGATATTTAAGTACATAACTAATTTAAACAATTTTCTATTTCTCTGATATTATAGGAAACCAAAAGCAAAATATCATAACTTCCAAGTTGTGACGTGTAATGAAATTGGTAAAAATTTCTGTCACTCACAAATTATGTAATAGTTTGCTCAATCACGTTTACAAAAAATAGAGAAGTAAGTTCCGTATTTTGATTGATTTACAGAGATATACCTCTGTTGAAAATCATCCAGAAATACTCAGAAAAAAATTTAGTAATAACCAACCAAAATTAAATTTCAAAAAAATTTATAGTACGTATTTCATTACAGAA